TATAATGTACATATTGACATGATCAGCAACGGATATCACGCTAGTGGGGGTCTTTTCTTGATCACTTTCTGTCTCATAGTGGACACTGTTTTCGATTTAGAAAAACAGGAAGTTTTCTAATATAAACCTGATGTCACACAGGGTTTGAGGATGAAATATTTCTCAGCGTCTTTTGAAGAAGTTTTGGGACATGTGTTGGGGTTACATTCAGTTTCATTCCTTAGCCATGGCGAAGAGATCTGACTTAATAAATTTGTCCAAAATCACCGGACAATCCACCTTTCCATCTAACTGGAAGACAGTTTCCGAAAATTTACATCGATGAAAAAGGTAATAAAGGTAGGAGAAGATGCGCTGTGTACGATAAAAATCAAAGAAAAGGAAAAGCAAACAACGTATTTTGAATTCAAAATATGCAATGTAGGACTGTGTGTTGATCTTTGTTTTGAATTATTTCACAAACAGCAGACTTTTTAAATTGAATTTAAGCACCTACAGGTAATTCTTTAGTTTTTTTTTTTTTTTTTAAATTTCGTATTTGTACTTTTTTTCATGTTTATAGTATTTATTTCTGTGTGTATAGTTATGATTTTAGTATTTAGCCTGTTTAATTTATTTCTATTAATGTGATATTCTTTATATTAATACACATTAAAAACAAGTGCGTTAAATACGCAACTTCAAAAATTGAGTTTGATAATATCAAAATGCTGATTTTATACTTTTTTTTTAAATTAGGCTTAACTGCTAAAAATGAGTGGGCCCATGACGATGATCCATTTCAGGGGTCTGGTCCTGTTACTGAGCTTCGGTCTCCCGGAGCTTTTTCTTAAGGGATTAAGACATATTCGCCATGTTTGACTGCACAGGCAGTACAGAAATAATATGTATGACGATTGCTACAGAATAATTATTGTGTCTCTATCATCATATTTTTCAATGAAAACAAAATTAAAAATAATAGAACAATCACTATTTGAGGTCGCATCAATATTGCAATTAACTAAAAAATATACAACAACAAACTAAATAATATAACTAAGGAGATCTGAAGGAAAAAATAAAACTAATCCATATTTATTTCTCTATAGTTAAATGCTAAACAATAAGATGTTTTTATGCTCTGGAAAATAAAAAGCTTTAAAACATTTTTCTTCGTTCCAATCCAGAGTATAACTATACAATATATTAAAAATTATACAGTCAAAAGTCTTTAATCCGGACTCGTCGGGACTTCTGCGATTCCGGATTATCGATTTTTCCGGATTATAGATCATCAGTTTAAATCTGGTAAGATGGCATGCAGAAATTATAAAATTAAAAATATGAAACCGTAATTTATAAAATAATGAGCAATTATGATCTAAAGGGTATCAAAATTTTACCAAAAAAAAGCCTTAATATTTATTTGTTTACTTTATTAAACATTTCTTTCAACGTGCGGATGCGTAAAGCATACCTTACGCAGAGCCGAAATTAGAAAATTGCAACCAGAAAACTATTTGATTTGTATTCGTGGTATTTATAATGACAAGGAATTTGATTTAAATCATATCAAAGACGGAGTACATCGAAATTAAATACTACATTTAGTAAAAAATTATAAGCCGAATAAAATAAAAACATCTGCTCTGAAGATAACGATAGTGTTGACAAATCAACTTCCAGTTCATTGCGCGCTGGGACGTCTCCCCCCCCATTTCGGAACGGTTAGATAAAGAAAGAACATGCCTTTATCCATTTTTTGTAGCAATTCGTTTTTTGTTTGATGGACATCGAAACATAGTTTCGTTTTCTAGATCCTTTGGGAGCTCCAGCATCGGAAATTCTATTTGACATAATCAAAGTTCAAGCTTACTTTTAGAAAAAATTGCTCTTACAGTCTGCAAAAAATAATAAGCCGGATCCAATTCGAAGATTAAGGAACAACGCAATCATCAACATTAACTGAAATAGATAATTAGATAATTTTAGCTTTATAACCGTCCGTTATACATTAAACGCGCACGCGAAAAACGTATTCTGCACTTGCGCAGACGCATATGCGCAGTCGTAAATGTCTTGAGCGCACGAGTAAAACGCCTATGCGCATGCGTCAATGCGGCGCATGCGCAGAAAGATTTTAGCTTTGAGGTCCAGGTTATAGATCATTCCGGATTATGGGTGTCCGAATTAACGACTTTTGACTGTATTATATATTCACTACAGCTCAATATATTACTTCCATTTCATCTAAAATCTACAATGGACTGAAATGATTGATTATTTAATCAATCAAATCAAAAAAGTTTATAAGTGTAATCAAAAAAGCAATACTTTCAGTTTATTATTATAAATTATTCAATATTTTTATGAAATTACACTAGTGGGACTAACTAAAAATCATTATATATATTTTTTAATAGTAACTATTTTATATTGGCCATGCAAGCAAATAGTATTTTACATAGGTGATTCCACATCTACCACATAACATAATAAAGGAAGATAAAATTAAAAGGATAAAACTGGATATTAAATAATTTAACACTGTTACAATTTTATGAAAAAGAACATCTGATGTTTCTATAATTTAGAGGCACATATTCAAAAAATGGCACAAATTTTGTAAACTTTGTTCACTGACTTAAAATTTGCTATAACAGTCAGATAAAACATACATTAAAGTTTGTTACTGTACATCCTCAATCTCAAGATTTCAATAAATATCCCAATTCTATCTATTTTTATAAATTCATTTGAACATATGCTGAAATCAATAATATAGAGGGAAAAAAAAACATTGTTGAAAATACTTATGCATCTGTTCTATATTGTTAGTTTTTACCATGTGTCCTTGCTAACAGCAGTATGCGCATATCACAATCCCCTTAGGCTTTTGTTTTTCATTATATTGTGGCAATTAATTGAAATGACATTTTTTATACATAACAGCATGCAGTCTATGGAGAATTTTGGGTTAACCTTCTGGCTGCTCATCCTGCAATTTCCACAGACAACTCGAATGTAGCAAAATCTGCTCATCCCGCGAGAATGTGTTTTTCTTCCTTTATTGAGGAGCGCATCCTGTTTTTTTCCCCGTTTAACCATTTGAAATAAATTATATACAGTATTGGACGTTTAGTTTACGTTTTGGCCAACCGATATTGTTAGTTGTCCACTAAATTGTGGCATTTGAAGGCACGTGGTATTATCTCACAAACTTCATTTTTTGCCACTTTTTTCTTATAGAAATGGCTGCTAGAAAACATTCAGCGATTATCTTGATTATTTAAATTAATTATTGAATTATTAATTAAGATTTATTGATTAGATTAATAATTAGATTTATTGAATCTGGTGCAAAGACTGTGAAGTTGGACTTTGCCTTGAACCCTGTTTTGATCTCTATCATACTAAACTGCATTTCTAAGGTATTTTTCCCTCAGTGCTTCTTAAAATTTATACATTTTACTTTTTTATATTATGCAATAAATAGAAATTAACTGTAATTAGACTGAAATTTATTTAAAAAAAGATTTTTTTTTTTTTTTTGGTGATAACATGTGAAATTGATTTTTCTGGCAACTTAGTTTCTCATGATAAAAATCTATATAAAAAATATTTTCTAGAAAGAAAAAGTGCATTTTTTAATTCTCCAATATATATAGATATAAAAAAATGATGGAGGGGGAGAGAGAAAAAAGAAAGGCGAAAAAAAAAAACCCGCACATTTTTTGAAGTGATTTTAGTCCACAAATTGAGTAAACAAAAAGTTAAGCATCAAATCAATGAAAAATCATGTAAATATTAAACAAAATTTAACACAGAATGTGATAAATTTTATGACAAAATGCAGAAAACAAAAATTTTTTAAATTAATCTTGGGAAGGGGGGCTGAAATTAATCCAAAAAAAATTAAATATGAAAAATAAGTATGCCAGAACATGAAGATGTTCGAGTCTAGATCATCAACAACAGATTAAAGGGGTCGAGAAGAATTAAGTCCATCACTTTCATATACACAAAACTTTCTAAATTTCACACATTTTATGAAATACTGCATGTTATTTTTGATGGAATTATGGTCAGCCCAAATTAAGATTAATAGGAAACATTTAAAAATAAATTGTATTTCACATCTTACCTAATATTAATACTGATCCCATTTAGTGATTTAACTCTGAAAACTAAATGAAGTAAAATAAAATGGTTCACAAAATTCTTTGGTTGCTATTACATAGGCTAACTAAATAATAAGCCCCCTTTTGCATGAAAGGAAAATAACAGAAAATAACAAATTCATAAATTTTCTTTAGAAAAAAATAATAAAATATATTAAAATTTGATATTTATTTCTTTCAATACAAAAACTTTTGCAAAATGGTAATTTAAAAAAAAATCCTAAAATGTATTAAATTATGAATATAGCTTATAACTTCTTCACTTACTTATTATACAAGAATAAACTCAGAATATTATATAAATTAAACCTTATATAGTAAAGTATATTTCAGATAAAACATTCTAAAGCTGTGCAGGTAGTTTGGTGACACAATGGTTAATGGTGAATTAGCATGATAACATTTTAAAGAATATTTTTATGCTTTTAGCAACAGTTAACATTCTGAAAATGAGTATGTTATGTCATGTAAACTTTGAACACATATTAAATTTTATTACTTAAATTAACTCAACAATTAAATCATAATCATGTACAAATATAGTTACAACATATTTTTATGCTACAGTTAAAAATTAAAGATAAAGCAACTAACTATTAGCAAATTATTAAAATACCCCAGAAACTAACTTATTCTACACTAAGAAAAATTACTTCAAAGAGCATTAGTTTTCCCAAATCAAATAGAATTCCATGCAATCTTTCATGGCGTGCATCATGAACATGCACAGGGAGAAGAAAGTGCTAAGAATGCTGGTTAATTGACAGAATAAATGTTCAGGTCAAACAAACACCGCAAGTCCAAAGCCACAATGAGGAAGAGCAACTGCGTACTGACCAAATATTTTGTAGTGTTTTCAAGCCTGTCGACAGGCACTGCTACAGCTTCCTGGTTTCCGGGTTACACGATACAAACACCACAGCAACAAGTGGAGAATAGAGAGAAATAGGGTGCAATTACTTTATTTTATGTTATAGGTTATAAAATATAACAACAAAATCAAATTTACATCAATAAACAGATGACAGAAAGAGTGCATGTTACAAATATGTTTTTCCATGCATATGTATAAATTTAATCCTCCAATCCTATTACAATATAAATGAAGATTTAAAAAAAAAAAATCAAAAAACTTGTACTTATTTAGTGACATATACAAAAGGTGACAAAGTTTTTCATATTAACATTCACAATATTAAAAATAAATATGTAAAATGTTTCAAGCAAACTTCAATTAAACAGGAAATGATTTCATACAGAAAAAATGAAGTTTTAATAATTTTTACAAAATTTCGTTCTAATCTTCTTAAAATTTAAGTTAACCTTATGCTCAAACATAATTCAAAGCACCTGCATTTTTTTCCCCCTTAAGTTTACGAATGGTTTATATTCTGAAATCTGTGAATTTCAGTAGGCAGAAAAATGAATCATAAAATACATTTGTTCATAACAATGTTTATTCACTTTAAACCATGCTGGTCCAAATATTTTTAATGATTATAACAGATAAACACTGAAAATTTTTTACAAAAACATTTTTTAAAAAAATTGAACTAGACATAAAACCCAAGATGTGACCACAGAAATGGATACTATTTCAGAAACCTTTTAAAAATGTTTAATAGTTTTATATCATAAAAATAAAATTTATTAAGTTAGGCAAGTAAATTTCAAGATCAAATACAAAATGAAAATACTTTTCTGTCTTCTGACACTATCTGGATACATTCAAGGAATGCAGTCATACGTAGGAATATTTTTCTACCTTTTTCAACATCAATATCGGAAGCTACTACCAAATCATTACAGCATATAAAAAAAATTGCTAATTGTGTATTTATCATATTTCATGCAGCATAGTTAAATTTTGGCAATAAAAATGTTGTGTATAAATGCAAGACCTTTATTTGGCTCATTTAAAACATCTTTCATAACATAAAGTCTAGTAATAAAATTTGTTTCATGCATAGCTTTCTAATAACTGTACATGTATCTGGATGAAAATAAATATCTTAGACAAGCAACATGGTAGATCAGTTTGATTCTTTTCATACATATTTAAAATTTGCTCCCGCCCCGTGGCCACTATTCACTGTCATTTAGGTCACTAAATTATTTTTTCAGAAATAAAAATAAGCACTTTTCTTTACAGCAGTAATTTTTTCTCTTAGTATAAGCCTGTTGCTAGACATTTTTAAATCTCAACATACAACAGACAATACCTGTATTTCTTAGAATTTTAAGAAATATGCACAGATTTACAAAATAAAAGGTAAACTATTTGACGTGTCCTAGAGCAGGATGGCTCTAGTAGCCTGGGGGTAACACCCTGGGTTTGCTGGATAATGTCCCTCAGTGACGGGCAGGCAGCAAATACATGGCGATTAAAGCTGATATCTTCAGGGTGCGGGGAAGAGGGTTCAACCCCCAGAACTGTTCTAAGGTTGCATTGGCCATGTAGTGCCAGCAACTTGTCTAGGCAGAGCATGTAATCCGAAAATTAATCTAGTATATGTAAGGATAACATAAATTATAATACTAAGCAAGCAAAATTATATTCTACTAATAACTTTGTTTAGGATAGCTTCAACTTTCAAATAATGGCAAACACAAAGGTTCATTAATGAAGACATTTTATTGCTTATCGAGGATTACGCTGCTTTTCAGAATATATAGAAATTATTTTGAAACATGGTATGAAAATGTGCAGCGAATAACATGTAAATATAGTCCTTACTAAGCTTTCACCAAAGTTTAAAATATTTCTCTCTACTGGATATAAATCTGGAACCTTATAATAAACATGCAATCTCATAAGTTAGGCTACAAATGCAACTTTTAAAATTGTATAACTGAAATATTTCATTTAAATAATACCTGATGTAAAGCAGGTCCTAAAACTGGAACTAAAAACCCTTGATACATGTATTCCATCAGCTGTTCTTGAACCATTGGATGTGCAACCTATATTTAAATCTACCATTTATATCATAGAAGTTTTAAAGTGATTATAGCAAGTGCTAGTTTGATTATTTATATGGTTACAATATAAATATATGAATATTTTTAATTAAGATAAAATAGTAGTAAACAAATAAGTTACTACAGGTCTGGTAACAGGAGTATTATTGTTACATATTTTGCAAGACTTATTTCTTTAAAACTACAATACATATTTTTATTTACACTTTTTAGAAAGCATATCTAAATTTTTTATACAACTACAGTCTGCAATGAACTCAGGGGAAATGAAAATAAAGCTGTCTACGAAACTTATGTATATACATGACTTAACCTATGCAGAGTTTTATATTTTCTCTTTAAATTGAATAATCAACAAATTTAAATTACACATTTCATAATCTCAAAGGGATAACAGAAATGATGATTTATAGCATATCTTAATAGTGTACTTTAAAAAGCATTAAAACTTCAAGCCAAGAAACATGGATCTATGCCTGAAAAGGAGAAATAAACAAATTTTTGCCACAAAATCATAGTTGAAAAGTAATCACAGTTTTAACTGGTTCTGCAAAAAATATGCATAAAAGTTCTTCCTTTGGTAAATTAGATTTCCTTCAAGCTCTTCACATTTACAAAAACTTATCATCTTTAGTTAACGGATTTTAATTCAATTCTAGTCCTTTTGGAGGGTTTAGAAACACATTTCATTATTATTTTCTTTAACAGATGACACTAGCCTCACAGTTGCTTTGTTCCACCCATTCCTTCTGACATAAGACAGTTGTTCCTTTCATTTTGCAGACTCCCCTTCCCCTCCTGACGAAGAGGGACCTATGCTTGATCACGCTTGAAATTGATATGGTTTTATTCAAAATCTTTGCAAAAATTAGATTGCTGTTTTACTTAATTTTAAAAATCTTTACATTTAAGAACTTGCTCTAAAAAGAGATTTTAATATTTAAAAGCTTGTTGTACTTGGTAAATCTAAAAATTGTTAATGTCTTTATAAGCAAAAATTTAATAACCTGAATAACTGCATTACAAAATTCCAAAGAATTCAGAAACATTGCAAGTTCTGGCATCTCAGCAATGTCTTCAGCTGTAAATTTATGCCAGTCTTCAGCAACACGTGGCAATTTCCTAGGAAGTACTGAATATAAAGCACTCAGCCCCGTTGCTAAAACCTAACATAAAATTAGAAAATAATGCATTAAAACTTTTTACATTGTTAACAAATGAAATATATGATGATCTAAATGTAAATAACTACAAGTTCTGTATTTCACATGAGTCTGCAAAACATAAGCAGTTTTTCTGCATAAAATATTAATTAGGAGACATGAAATTCATACTACAGAAGCATAATGTAGTACTTAAACGATGAGGAAAGTACAGTAGTAAAAAAATAGGCAGGGAAAGGTGGAAAGCTTCCAGACTTTTACATTACTCCCAAAAGGGCATTTTTTCAACATTTTGTGTGTTACCTTTATTTATTACATATCATGTTCTTTGCACTTAAACCATAAAATTCAGTTCAGCAGCAATACTGCAAAATAACTTTAAAATGAGCATATTTTTAGAATTTCTAAAATACAGTCCTGCGTGATGGAGATAATGATTTTCCCCCCTTACAGTATTGCCATTGCTCGCTTTGAAATCATTAAGTTTGTTAATCAAAAATGCATTAAAGTTTTACAAAATATGAAATAGATAATAAATTCCAAATTTGGGCTTCCACATGCCCATATTCGGGTGGAAACGTATGTTATTTGATGGCTCTAGGTACCGGTGTTTTATCAAAATGCAAGAAACATACATACATTTATGCAGATTCTTCATTATTTAATTTTTTTAAATATAATACAGGGCTCTAATATTTGGTGGCAATAATTTGAAAAGTGAATCAACACAAAATGCCAAAACGAAATTAATAGTTCTTCTGGGCAAATTGTTCCTATGGACTAAAAATAGGACGCATATAATATGAGACGAATAGAAAAAGGCTTCACTGACAAAATGGCATTGGTACAAAAAATTACGTAGCCAAGTGAGAGAGCAACAAACCAAAGAGCCTTAGTAAAAGATAAGACCTTCCCTAACTGCCCCGATTACGTTGCATAGTTTGCCAATACTCAACACACAATTATCGAACAGTTATTTGGGTAAAAGTTCCCATTCTTCAAGAAGCATCCACTTCAGCTGGTATTCTCAGGAGGGTAAAGTATGTCGCCAGGCATGTCCCTAAAACATCCTATAAGGTATTTCTCCCGCCTTCGTGGTGTAGTGGTTCTGCAAACTGGACCGGTATTCCAGAGGTCCGTGGTTTGATACCCGGCGAAGGGCGGTTGCTAATTATTCATCTTTCCTACTTCCTAAAATCCTAATGTCTCTACAGTGGCACCCGAACTAAAAGGATTTGGCAATTATGTCCCCTAAAGGCCCCAGTTGTCCTTTAAAAGGGGGAGTATATAAGGTAATTCTCCCACCTTCTCGGCATGCCTTCGTGGTGTGGTGGTTCTGCACGAAGGGCGGTATTCCAGAGGTCCACGGTTGATTCCCAGCGAAGGCATTGTTAATTTTTCATCTTTCCTGCTTCCTAAATACACTGGCACCTGAAGTAAAAAGGGTGTTGGATGATGATTCTCCACACCCAGGATTTGGTGATTGGGTCCCCTAGAAACCCCAGTCAACCTTTAAAAGGGGGAGCATATAAGGTATTTTTCCTGCCTTCCTAGTGCGCCTTTGTAGTGTAGTGGTTCTGCACGCTGGGTCAGTATTCCAGAGGTCCACGGTTGATTCCCAGCGAAGGCGTTGTTAATTTTTCATATTTCCTGCTTCCTAAATGCATAATGTCTCTACACTGGCGCCCAAAGTAAAAAGGGTGTTGGATGATGATTCTCCACACCCAGGATTTGGCGATTGGGTCCCCTAGAAACCCCAGTCAACCTTTAAAAGGGGGAGCATATAAGGTATTTTTCCTGCCTTCCTAGCGCGCCTTTGTAGTGTAGTGGTTCTGCAAGCTGGGTCGGTATTCCAGAGGTCCGTGGTTCAATTCCCAGCGAAGCCATCAGCTCATTTTTCATCTTGCCTGCTTCCAAAAATACCTAATGTCTCTACAATCCAACACATGTTCAATGGGATTGAAACCGGAAGAGAATGCTGGTCAATTCATTCTGTGTATATCTTCACTTTCCAAGAGCTCTTCAACAGCATGAATCTACTGTGGCCATGCACTATCATCAAAAAAAAAAAAAAAAAAAAAAAAAAAAAAAAAAAAAAAAGGAAGTTCGGGACTAATGGAACCTTGGGAAAGATGCAGGAGGGGAAGATAACTTCATTACTGCAAGAATCTCTTGGAAATGAAGCTCTCTCGAAAATGGGAGCCTTCTCTGTCCATCTCTGTCTGCCTCCCTACTCAAGCATACCAGAACCATCCTAATGTTCTTTCCCCCTGATGTTACTGATATGAAAGCGTGTGCTTGCCTCTATCCATGTCAATTGGTGCCAAGAATTGTTTCTCAGACTGAAACAACTAAACAGTAAACAGGACTTGACGCTATTGATGAGATGTCAAGCCACAATATAATGCGACACCAGTTGTCCAGTTACTGTGCACAACTGCTGAGCAATGTTGCTTGCTGTCTGGTTTCAGTTTTTCCCCCCTGCTGGGTGATATATTGATTATCAGTCACCGTTGCTTTCTTTAGGTAACCACCAGCAGCCTTTTTCCCACAGCTGTACCTGTAGTTTGGATGTCTTTTTCAAGCTTGTAAAACACCAGTTTTATCAATTCCAAATTCTTGGGCATCAGACATCAAACTATCCAGCTCCTCCTCAAGCTTGCTAATCATTCTACCAAGTATAAAGGCGAGCTGATGTTTTCTTGTAACCATGCTGCATGCACAATCTCACATTCACTTGGAATTGGACATTCATTCTCTCTTTTTAATGCCTTGCACTGTGTGTTCACCAACTCGTTGGGTTTTTTTGTGCCCTGACGTAACCTTTGATATTATGGTGCTGATATTTGCATATGCATCACCTTTCTACTGTCTTGCTTTACATTGTATTGATCGGAAAAAAACTTTTTCGACAATTTCAAGGTTATACGTTGAAAAGTGAGTTTGTTAAGTTTTGCACACTATTTAGTTTGAATCATACATAAACATAAATAAATAATATAGTTCTTTTAGAGCAGTAATATCCACAAATATTAAATAAGCTCAAATTTAAATAACAATCACCATGAAATTGTTCGTATCCATTTTTATGTAAATATTCAAAGTTCTGAAAAATTTTTTCTGTTTCAAGATTTAAAATTATCATCTCATTTATAATGAGTCAAATCAGCTACTTTCCAATTCAGATACGAACAAATCTACTGTAACCACGCTCCTCTAGCACTGACAGAAAAAAGGATACAAATCATAAAAAAGGATACAAAATACCTGATCATACTGCTTACAGTCTTTATTGCACAATAATCGCAAATAACTGATATAAATATTGTAGCAAGCATTTTTTTGAGAAGATACAACCATTCATCAATTGCAATTAGCTAATTATCATCAGAGGGTGCAGTAAGCTTTTGAAAGAGAGGAAAAGAGAAATGTGACTACTTTAAACAGACTGTTTTGTTTCAGGAAGACTCAGGCACATCCAGCTATTTTCTTTGAACCACAATTGATTTTATCCAATCAAAAAATAACCAGAATCACCTTTGAAAATTTCCCATCAGTAATTAAATTCATTTACTCAAACCTTTTAGAAAGGTATCATTTTCAAGTAATGCCTAATTTTCATATTTGCGAAGAAAAAATTCTAACTGGTCATATCATATAATACCTGCGTATTACACTCTACACCCCATAATGACTTTCATCCAGATTGGTAACACACATTTTAAAGCTCAGAATTTGCACTGCAAGTTTAACTTTTAGCAAACAGTGTATTTTATACATGGAATACAAAATCTATTAATAAAACTGAGGGATTTCTGAGAGGGGTAAAAAAAAGCAGAAGTAAGCAGCTACTTTTTATGTCATTTGTTTTTAACCTGCACATTTATTAGGTTGGGAAAAAGGTTAAAATTTAAATTTTGCTTTCAACAGAAGCTAGCACGCACTGTTTTGAAACTCCCCAAACTAAACAATCAGAAAATCAAGTGTGATGGCCATAACATTATTTTCTCTCTATTTCATTTGATTTTCCATCCAACATCCTAACCAATTGAACATCAACAAAGTCTGATTTACAAGTTCCGTGTTAAAATTTCAATTCATGGGACAGTAAAAAAACACTTTTTAATCTATGATTACAAAGCCAAAGCAAAATTTTATTTTGACATTTTTAAAATAGAAATATTTGAAAGGCAATGTATTTTTTAATATACCATATATGGCTTGAAGACTTTTATCCCTCTGTTATAGTAATCTGATATTGTTCATAATAAAGAAAGAAGCACTCTACTTTTCCAGAAATAACATATATGTAAAAGAACTTTTTTAAAACTGTGTATAAAACATAAAACTGCAATTTTTCAATTAAATTACCTGTTGATAATGATTAAGTTTCTTCACTGATAAAATATATAATATGCATATTTTTGCCTTGATGAGAAACTAACAATTACCAATTTGTGTGCACATGATTTATGTTTCTTTTTTAAAACAACAGTTTTTGATGTTATATTATTAATATGTTTACTATTTCCACTCTGCCTTCGACAGTAAAAAATGTTTGAATCAAAAAGCTTATGAGAATCAGCAAGATAGTAAAACAACTACAGCAACAAGTTCAGAAACTATCATGCATACTAACCATTCTAAGAAGTTCAATATATGACCATTTCAAGAAGACTGGCTATGTACGTCCACTATAATGTATGGTTACCTCATACTTTACACTACAATGTACGTCCACTACAATGTATGGTTACCTCATACTTTACACTACAATGTCCGTCCACTACAATGTATGGTTACCCATACAGCAGAATATGCTTATTTAAATTTTTGTATGTGATTCTTAGCTGAAACAAAACACAGAAGCTCCTTTTTTGAAACAGCTGATTATGGGAGATGGGAAATGGATACTTTACAATAATGTCACAAGAAAAAGATCATGGCGTTAAGCCAAATAAACCTCTTTTAGTAATATCAAGGGGCTGCATCCCCAAAAAGCTAATGCTTTGTGTATGGTGAGACTACAAAGGAATTGCATATTATGAATTGTTACCACTAAATCAGAAGATAATATATTTGAAAAAATACTGTTCTCAAAGTTTTAAAAAGAACAAATCAAAGCAAAATGCCCCAAAATTGACCGAATGTTGAAATATTGTTTTCCATCATGATAATGCTCTGCCCTATAGTTCAATGATGTTAGATTAAGACTTATTAAGTATGACTGGGATATTTTGGGCTATCCCCTCCCCATATTCATCAGATCTTGACCCCCTCGTATTTTTATCTCTTCAGGTCACTTCAAGTTCACTTCTCTAGAGACCATGAAACAGTACCTCAATATTTCTTCATGAGTAAACTTAACGATTATTTTAAAAAAGGAATTTTCCAGCTGATGAAAAATGGCAAAAAGTCATAGAATAAAAATAATGCTTCTGTGACTCAAAGAATAAGTTTTGGTACTGCTTCATTTGTATTTATCATTAATATGCTGCAGAACTTTCAGGAAGACCCAATATAATAAAAATTTATGGGAAGGAAATATTTATGATGAATACAGAAAATAACTGTACTAAATTTAGGTGAGTCTTCTCATGCAAATATTCTTGAATAACATGATAAGCCAAAATATACTTTTTTTAATTTAAAAAAAGGGGAGAAACAAAGGGGTAGGACTCAGAAAGAAACGGAAGAGAAGAAAAAGAAATTAATTAAGATCCAGGATAATAAAATTTTGCTTAATCGAAATGGTAAGTAATCAGTAAATCTAAATAATAATAATAATAATAATAAACAATAATTTTTTTCCTAGTTCTTTAAACGACTGTTTATTTTTTTCCTTAGTATTCAAATATAAACACATATTTTACATTATAAAAAAAATAACAATAGTATACTTATAGGATTTTATTTCAATAAACGAGTTATCATATTATTTAAACTTCTATACTTCTACATTTCATAAACCTACCCAGAATGCAAATCAGTTTAAAGTTTAAATAAAAGTGGACTTTCAAAATTTAAGAGATAGCAACTGGCAGTGTATAGTGATTATTTACTCTACCTTGTAATTCTGCTATTTACATTATCCTATCAGTAAAGATTGCTTGCTTTGATTCTTCACACGTATTTAGTCAGGCATCAAACTTTAAGACAGCTCTGATTACACTGTGAATATATTCAGTTTACTTGGAATTTGAACAAGAAGTCTGTTACTAGACTCACAATTTAGCAGCAACTCAGGCTGTATTAACTGCAGTTTGTGTAAATGTCAGGTTAACCAGGGTTCATAGCCACATTTTAGTTAAAAAAATAAGCATCTATAAACACTTTTCAAGCACATTTTAAGGAAAAAAATAAGCACCTGTCTAATTACATCATACACAACTGCATAACCTTAAAAATTAGAATTGTAATTTAAAATATAAGAAATGAAGTACTTATTAAGAGAGAATAAGCATTACCTCAACCATGGAAAATAATTACTTTTTTAATTTTAAATAATAGTCCAATTTACAGAACTAGTTACAACTAGTTACAAAAAAAAAAAAAAAAAAAAAAAAAACTATGAAGAACTAAACTATATTACAAGATTTAATGATGAAATTTCAGTTCAAAATAGAGAAAATAAATAATAATAAGGCATATTTATTGTATTCGTTTGGAACCTAATAATAAATACAATTTATTTTTCCACTCATATTGATATTTAAGTAATTTAAATCTAAATTCTGAAAATTTTCTAAATTTTCATTGTATATCAGTTTTAACTTAACAGAAATTGCAAGTAAAGTAATTTAAGTAAAAGAGAGGAACATTTTTGAAATCAGAAGACAGAAATTTGCTTCGTGCAGCGATCTTTAACAGTAAAAGCTTACTTGGAATTGGCGAATATTCGGACAGTCGAGCGTAACTTGAAGGAGCAGAAGGGGGGGGTAGACTGTAGCCGCTCTTTAGATTTTTCCGCTAAATAAATGCTTTTTGACATTTCAATATGTGCATCATATAAAAATAAAACCAATGGAACTAAAAAATATTCTGCTTAGGCAAGCACAGTAAAACTCTTTTAGTAAGTGTTCATAAACAAATCTCGGAACTGAACATCAAAATTAATTATCTCTGCAAAATATCGCAAACGTTATTGCGCAATACGTGCGCCGTAATTCTTCCCTACGTGATATTACACAATCGGAATCATCAACAACTGCCGGTATTGGGAGAATAAAGAACTAAATAAAGGAAAAAAACGAGACTTACCAATCTGGGGTGTTTTTCATTCTAATTTTCAACAGACGGCGTTAAATTTCTGGAATAGAATCATTCTTCGCTTGGGTTGGTAGAACTGCAAAACTTTTAGTCCTATTCAATCCAGATTGGAAAAGTGACATAACAAAAAAAAAAAAAGTCCGTTGCTTGTTTTGCAGCGAAACTGTAACAGTTTCAATATTCAAGATTTTGCGGAGAAAGGGGAAAGAACCTCCCAATCTTCGTACTGTATAATGTATTGGCAAAAAAATGAAATTATTTTGACTGTTCGATTACTTTCCCTTTATTTAAGCCATTCCAAATATTATTCCTTAGAAAGCTAATCTGTGTTAAAACACAACCATTTTTGGAAGTTTACTATACTTCAGCAGTTACTGCAACTATGTTATTATAAACATTCATACATATGCTCATAATATGAGCATAACAATCATAATAAACACGAATATGAACTGACCAAGCAGAACGAGAATGCAAATTTTTAAGATCTTGATAGAAATTCAAACGTGTGTAGTATTTGGGTGAGAGGAAAAGAATGCCAAATGTAGCAGAATTTTCTACTGCTTTCGCAATTCTTTGACCAAGAGAAGGACGGGCACCTGTCTGTACTCTTCCTGCACACCAAAGGTTATGTTAATGCAGAGAAAGGGGGAAAAGCTATTTCCGGGAGTATGACTCACCATCTGACATTCCATATTAGGAAGAAAAGTTGTTTATTTAGTTTCGGCTTTGGTACTGCACTTTCATTAACAAAAAAAAAAAAAAAAAGTACTAAAAGCAAAAAATAAGCACTAAAAACAAAAAAATAAGGACTTTAAAGAAAAAGTAAAAGCATTTATAAGGACCGCTACGAACCCTGTTAACATGTTAATAAATATTTTATTTTACTTTGGTTATGGTACTTCTAGTTAAGAAATGAAACGAAAATTTATACAACAGGCTTTTATGATCACTAATTAGTTACTCAATACTTTAAATTTAGCCTTGTAAGTGTATATATCTTCATGCAAAACAGCAGGCCGTGAATCTTTATTCTAAGATGACTTAAATTTCTATATTCATTGATAGATTAAAACAATTAAAATTTGCACTGTATTAAAACACTGTTCTAAAAGTAAATAAATCTCCCAAAAGTATCAAATATTTCAGTGAAAAATAAAAAATGTCTTGCTATATCACAAATGAATTTTTAATCAAAAAGCAAGAAATTATGATTTTGCTATCCAAATTCCAAAATGCTACTCATTTAGGATACACTATAAAAATTTAAACTCTATTTTTAACTCTCTTATTTTATTTAAATAAAAAACACTATTAAAATGGAAATTTTTTAAGTTTACTCAAAAATAACACTGCTGAATACAATGTGTGCAGAAATGAGCCACATCTATTTCATATAAGCCTGGCCCTGAGTTATTGGAGAAAAAGCATTTTATTTGGTATTTCTTTATACTATCATTTCAGATAAACATGCTACTACTGCATTTTGATAATCATTAAAATAGCATAAGTATTAAAAATACTGTTTTATTGAAATTTTTTTATTTTTACTTAGTATAATTTGCCATTTTGATAATGTTCCTCTACTAAAAGAAGCTCTTGATTAATATTATGTACAGCTGACATTAAAATGGGAAAATTCAAAAAATAATGATCAATTATAACATATAAAATAGCATAAAATAACATTATTCCCTACCGGACAAAAATTGGAATGTTCAGCTATATAGACTCCAATGCTTTCATTTCTCCTAGACAAGGCCATACAGAGTAACAAGGCATCTCTTGCTTGTTGACCAATTGCCCCCTCACGATGAACAAATGGTATTAAAAGAGAAAATATTAAAAACCTAAAAGAAAAAAAGACTTTAAAGAAAGGGAATTTCATGAAAATTTAATTTATCTACACTACCTAAATTTAAAACTTGATAAAAAAAATATAATTTTTAAACAATATTTACATACCTTTTAAAAAACATTAGTTCACAAAGAAATTGTGTTATTCTAACTAATACACATTACACTTCTTCAATTTTCAGCTCATTGGTACGGCTTTTTAGATTATTCCTAAAAAACTATATTCAAGCAGTTGCTCTTAGCTAAATTTGAGTATGTACTAACTTTAGTCTCTGTCTTCATAAATTAAGTTCCATTCATTAAGATGATATTTAACATCATTAAAGAACATAAAAAAATAAAATGATTTATATTATAAGCTATTTTATTATATACCAAGTAACAAAAAATTTCATGAGTGAATAAAAATCTTCATGCTACTCAAGGTTATAAGTATCACAAAACTAAAGGGGGGATTAATATAAAATGTCCAATAATCATCACAGTTCACACATAAAATTTTCAAAACATGTACTTCAATTTCATCAAAATTTTGTCCATAATTCAATAAATTCCATCAAAATTTCATACAAGTCAAACTTTTGAGAGGGTGGAAAAAAACACTACAAAGTTGCCCTCACTAAAAGGCCCAAGTTTAGTAAACGATAAAAATTAGCCACACAATTTTAAATCAGATCTGGGGGAGGGGCTGAAAGAGTTATAATAAGCTTGAAGAATATAACTATTAAAAAGTGGGGGAAGTAATCTGAAAACTTTCGGATTACAGTCAAAGAATTTACCATTAAAGGCTTGAAAAGTTAAAAAATGCAAAACTTTTATGAATGGAAAAAAAAAAAAAAAAAAAAACTGTGATATAATCGTGGTATGTAGATTTCAATTTTATACTACCAAAACTATTTTAAGCTAAGAAATTGCAATAAGCTTACTAGTTTTAGGAGTAGTATCCACAAAATTAGAGATTTAGAACAAAATCTTATACTTAGGGGCTCAAAATGGCAAAGCTGAATACTGTGGGTGGGGAAATTGCTATGAATAATTATCTCATTATAAATTTAAATTCAAATTAATGTCATAATTTAAACTGTCATAATAAAAAATTTAAACTGTAGATGTAGCTGTGTATCTATTTCACTAGATAGTTTATGCATAAGGCTTAGAACAAATACACTCATGTCCAAAATTATGTTTACATGCATAAATTCACAGATTTCTCAGAGACTATGACTTATAATTTAACGAATTGTTGTGGAATCATACATAACATGATGACACATAAATGCAAAAGAAAAAATTGAAGATCACCTCATATGATATAACAATGTGTAGCATGAAACAATAAAAATGGTAATAAAGTGTGACAAAGAGAGTTAAGAAAAAAAAGGAATGATTCAGAAAAAAGAATTAAGTCTTACGAATTTAATATGGAATATGATCTCCCCTGACTTGTACACCACATATCACAACGTGTTTTAAGGCTGGAAATAACGTTGTTAACCACAGTTTTGGGGAATTAATCTCCACTCTTCCAGCAATGCCATCTTCAGAGCATTTACATCTCTAGGAGGAGGATGTATACGTGCAATTGCTCTTCCAAGGTAGTCCCATAAGTTCTCTATCGGGTTAAGGTCAGGAGAGTTTGGTGGCCAAGACATTCGCTTAATGTCTTCACTTTCAAGGAATTCATCAACGAGGTTTGCTCGATGTGGATGGGTATTATCATCCATAAATAAAACGTCAGGTCCATATGCACCCCTGAAAAGTCTTACATAAGGATCTAAGACCTCATCTCGATATATCTGGCCTGTCACAGATCCGCTGCTGAACATGTGTAGGGGCGTACGTCCATCGATCATTATTCCACCCCATACCATCACACCTCCATTACTGAAACGGTCACGTTCCACAATGTTCGAGGGATCATTTCGTGTTCCTGACTCCCTCCAGATGTAAACACGTTTAGAATCACCAGTTAAACTAAACCGCGACTCATCAGTAAAGAGAACCTGGGACCATTGATGTTCAGTCCAGTTTTGATGTTCTTTACACCAATTAAAGCGATCCCTCTTTTTCTGTGAAGACAGTAAAACACATACCCTTGGCTTTCTGGCATAAAGGCCTTTTTCATTAAGCCTTCTGTATATTATTTGCCGTGATGCAACAGTTCCAGTGGCGGCTGCAAGCTCTGAACTTAACTGGCGAGCAGTAGCCTTTCTGTTACGACGGGCAGTTAATGCCAGATACCGATCTTCACAAATAGTTGTCATTCGTTTCCGACCTTGTCCAGGCCTTCTTACAACACTTCCATCATTTTGAAACTGTTTCCATAGCTTAGAGACTGTCTGTCTTAAAATATTCAGACATGTGGCTGTTTCCATGATTGACTGCCCTGCTTCTAAACGGCCGATAATTCGCCACTTTACAGATTCTTCCAAATGGTACTTCGAAGCCATAACAAACCGCTTTGAGTCCCTACACACTGAAATCAAACGCTATGTTGCAGAAATTCGCTCAAATATTCAGTTTGCGCAAAGCGCTTGATTCACCCTTGGATGGCGTAACGCCTAGATTTGCATATCACAAACCGTTTGATTACTTTTGATTGGATAATGCTAATTAGGCTTGGTTTTCACACATTCCCTGCAAATACGGATCACATTGATTCGATATTTCATTGAATATAATCATTTTTGGGTATGTAAAGATAATTTTGGACATGAGTGTATTTCCCTTAAGTGGCAACAATCTAATTTCCTACAAACAAAATCTATGAACTGAAAATGATAAACATTCAGAGGTTTTCCTCCAGATGATTATAGAAAAAAATTACATGCTGTAACCAAATCATGGCTGGCTCCTGTTATCTGGCAGATTTTGAATCTAAATAATTCTCTGAACTTGTATGCTTGTTTTAATATCAGCAGACAGAAGTATTCATTCTAGAAATATATATTTAATTATATAAAACCAAATTTCATATAATTGCATAGTTTTTTAGTTGTTACATCTATTTGAATACAAACTTCCTAGGAATTATGTTGCTAGGTATAAAAATTCTGAGAATTATATCGCTAACTATGAATTACCCCTTGAAAATTCTGTTAAGTAACACCTAAATTCTGCTCTGGAGCTAAATTTATTATAAAAAATGTTCTTAAATTAAAAAAAAAAAAAAAAAAAAAAAAAAAAAAAAAAAAAAAAAACACCCAAGCAGCTTTTTTTTTTTTTTTTCTAATTTAAAACTGAAAAAAATTATTCATATTTTCAACAGATTTTATTAAAATTTTCCACTTATTTTTCTTTACATGTTTTAGGGTTAACTAAATAAAATGTAAAATATTTACTTAATAATGTCACCTCAATTCCAATTTAGCATTGCAAATACATAAATCAAGAAACCAAAATAATTAAGAAAATTATATGCAGTACAATGCCTTAACTCCTTCACATCCAATCCGCCTGACACGGCCCTACATTGAAATGACCAGAACCTCCTGAAAACGGCCTAAATTGTAATCTTCTTTTCTTCCCTCCCCCTAAGGTATGTAGTAGCAGGTGCACTTTCCCCAAATGCATTGTATCAGTTTACTGCAAACAGCTTGTCCTAAGAGTTTTTTTTTTTTATCTTTTGGTTGATCGTGACATTTTGTTGTTGATTCTTTTGTGGCACAGTGTGCTTTTAAGCTTTAAACAGCAATAAAAGAGGAGTTTAAAAATTTAAGGATTATATTTATTCTTAAAAAATTTATTCCTTGGTATAAATATAACAGAAATAAACAAAATCTCAGTCACGATCATAACAAAGCCAGAAAGGCTTGTGATCTGACCTTCAGAATAGTTTTATAAAGAAAGGGGTCAAAGGCTATTGGAATCTTTGTTAGAAAGTACAAAGGATGTCATTGGACATCTTCACACCTATTTTCTGCATTAATGGACGGGGAGGGGAGGGAATTGCTGTGAAACTGGAAAAGTAGTTTGGGCGGTTTGGGTATTTTGAGGATACAGCTTAGCGAAGGGTCTGGGTTTCAAAGAGTTAAATCTAGATGTTTAATACAGTCAAAAGTCGTTAATTCGGACACCCATAATCCGGAATGATCTATAATCCGGACATCAAAGCTATAAACTTTCTGCGCATGCGCCGCTTGGACACATGTGCATATGCATTTACGCGTGCATGTAAGACCTTTACGACTGCGCATATGCGTGTGCGCAAACGCAGAATATGTTTTCGCGTGCGCGTTTAATGTATAACGGACGGTATAAGCTAAAATTATCTAATTATCTATTTCAGTTAATGTTAATGATTGCATTGTTCCTTAATCTTCGAATTGGATCCCGCTTATTATTTTTGCAGGCTGTAAGAGCAATTTTATAAAAGTAAATTTGAACTTTCGATTATGTCAAATAGAATTTCCGATGCTGGAGCTCCCAAAGGATCTACAAAACGAAAGTATGTTTCGATGTCCATCAAATAAAAAGTGGAATTGCTGCAAAAAATGGATAAAGACATGAAGGTGACAGAGAGGTTAGTGAAAACGAAAAAATTTCGATTGACAAGTTAGTCGGTATTCTCGGCATAGTAATTACGGGACTTGAACAGCGGAACTTTGTAACTGAACAAGAAATTATGTCTGTTTATAGAATTAAAGAGAAAGTATTAACACATAAAATGAAGCAACTTAAGCAACTTACACTGAAAGTTTAAAAAAGTAAAGAAATAAATATTAAGCTTTTTTTTTTTTTTTTTTTTTTTTGTAAATTTTGATACCCTTTAGATCATAATTGTTCTTTACTTCATAAATTACGGTTTCATATTCTTAATTTTAGAATTTCTGCATGCCATCTTACGAGATTTAAACTGATGATCTATAATCCAGTAAAATCGATAATCCAGAATCGCTGAAGTCCCGACGAGTCCGGATTAATGACTTTTGGCTGTATCTGGAATGATCTAAAATCCAGACCTCTGGATCACCATCAACTTTTTCTTTCTTTTTTATGTTTTATGCTTACAAAACTGATATTTTTTAATAACAAAAATATGTGGGCAGTCCTGATTCTTATTTTCACTTTGGCACTGACCGCAACCTTGCAAATCATTATTTATTATTTTTTGCTTTATCACTACACGACTATCACCATGTTACAGCTTCAGAAATGACTTATGCAGCGATGTCTAAACAATTTTTTAAAAATATATATTGGCAACTGCAAAGAGCATGGTAAACTTTTATGTTGACATTACGCTTGACCATGATTACAGACTTCAGCTAGCTCCGTTGCTGAATGAATTAACGAGGATAAATTTAACAGAATTTCTTTCCACGTGCACAAAATAAATTTTGTAAATGAAACTCATAAACCAAAAAATTACATTTAGTGCTGTTTGAATTGTTATTCAGGTAAGCCCAGGACTGCTGCCAGAGCTGGTGTGGTCGTGCCAGGAGGCAGACTTTAGGGGAGCTAAAATTTTTAGAATTAAGAGAAGCACCAAGCAATAAAATTAAAGGATGGCAAAATCTTTAGAATTACACGAATGCACTCGGACTCAAAATTTAGGTGTGGCAAAATTTTTAAAATTTAGGGAGCTGCTTGGCAGCAGAATCTGGACTTGCACAGACTGTACTGGGCCACAAAATGTCTAGCACTTGCCTTGGATAAGTCTTAAGTATATGTTGGAATTTATTTATTCAAGTATAATAAATAATACAATTTAGGCTTAACTTCATCAGCATGTGATAGAAGAAAGACAAAATTTAACGGAACAGCAGGTCTTTAGTTGGCAATAATGTATAACAGACATTTGCTAAGCTTTATGACGATTGACAAGAATTCACAGGTGCTCAACAAAAAGTAAAATTTTCTAATTAATGAAATTTGTGAAGAAATGTGGAGAAGCACTAATAAATGAAGAAGTTATAACCGTAATTTTTTATTATGATGATAATGCTCGAATCATCAATCAACAGATGGCAAAATCTGTAATGAGGTTCTAAATCCAGAAAATACTGCTACTAATAGTGAAGAAAGTGACAGAATGGTTGGTGAGAATGAAAACAATTTTGTTTGACAATTCAGTGGGATTTCTTGATGCAGCAATTACAAGATTTGAACAACAGAATTTTGTAACTGAAAGAGAAATTATGTCTATCTCTAAAGAGAAAATATTAGCATAAAAAATAAAGGAAATTAAAAACTTAGATTGAAATAATTGCTTCTTAATGTAAATAAGCTAACTACCTGCTAACCATTTTAGCTCACAGAAACGAATAATAAATTAAAAGGTACTTATATGTTATCGTAACCACTTTAAACCTCTGAGCGGCCGGGTTTTTGGATCTCTCATGAAAAACTGTATTTAAAGATCCTTTATTACCCAAATATGAATATTTACCTATTGTAGTCTCTATTTTCATAAAATTACATTCATCAAGACGGCATTCATATTATTAATAAAAGTAAGAAAGCAAAATATCTTAAATTATAAGAATTAGCTTATAATGACAATATAACAAACAAGTGACAAAAAAATCTCATGACGGGATACAGCCAGTCATGGCGCTCATAGGGTTAATAGAAATTTTATTCTTTTTGTTGTATTGCAAGTTCCCACGATTTTTATAAGCAAATCGTGATATTTTTTGCCTTCAACTTAATTTTCCTACATATGCTTATGGAATTTGCCAACAATGGAAGAAAACGTAGTAAAATTTCTGCACAAATACAGAATTTTGCAGCAAAATGTCTGAAGGGAACAAAAAGATGCGTTTGATAGATAGCCAATACTGCTGAGGTCCGTGAGATGCCAGATATCTGTAATTCTCTGATTTTCCTTTTTAAGAGAAAATAAGATCACTGCGTACTTAGGAAGAAAATAGCTTAAAAAATTACAGAAAGATTTAGTCAGAATGCATTTTATTTTTTTTAATATTACATAATCCTTATTAATTAATTAAAAGTTGCATTTTAAATTGCTAGTTTTTTTTTAATATGCTGATTATGTCTGCCGACTTATGACAAACAATGATAGTTTAGGAATCTTTCTAAAACATTTACAAAAATTACCAATTTGATAAGTAACTTTTCCTTTCATCAGTAAAAAATTGCCAAACTGTGCTAAAGTGGTTGCATTAATACCTTTAAGTATCAAATAAAAATTATTTATATATAAAACTAGAGATTAAGATATTAATATATAAATTAAACAGATATAATGCAAAAGAAAAAACAGAATATTACTTGACTAGGCATTATTGTTTACAAGAAACATTCAGTTGCATTACATAATTTAATTTGAACATTCAAGCATATTCCAAAAATTATACACATTTAGATATCTAATGAAAACAGATTCATGCCATACAAAGTTTTAAATAATTTACAGTCAAATGCTAATACGTGAACAAATTACCATTCAAATTCTTATAAAATTAAGTAAATGCTTTCATTCAACATTCAAAGGAAAGAATGAAAAACAAAACTATACATATAAACATAAAACTTTTTCCTTCTTCAAAAAGAAATATCTAGCAATATACATTCCATATATACAACTATTTTTCCTACATTTCAAATGCAAATGCAAGAATAAAATTCACAGAATTAAAATTATAATGTAAAAAAACTAAAGAAAAACAAACCCATGCAACCAACATACATGTCTCGTTTTTCTGACCTTGTGGATCCATGGTCAGAGCTTGCTCCAAAAAATACTTGCAATAAATCAGGAAACTGTGTCAGACAAACACACAATGTGTTTAGTAAAATAATTAGTCTTTTTTCAACTTCTACAGGTGCACCATCTCCACAAGAAGCCAACAGCCTCAACAAAGGTCGCACAACAGGTTTATGGAAAAGAAGATCTTGATGACAATTTGTAACTAAAATCTTTAAAATATACAAGGAAAAAATACCTTTATAAACATGAAATAAATTTTCATTTTTAAGAATGAAATATTTACAGTGAATTAGTATTCTTTTAGAAATTAAGACAACAAAATTAAATATATAATTAACATGATATGCATTGTGAAAATTCACATGAATGTACAAGATGAATATATATTAACAGGATTAGAAGCTTTTAAATTATCTTAAATACTCAAAAGAGAGGAAATGTAAAAGGTGTTTATGAAAAGAACTGGAAAATCCAAATGTAGCACAGTTACAAAAATTGAATTTAACTGTGGCCTGTTACTTTTAAATTAAAATCAGATTAAGTAATGTTTTAGTTATTGAATGTGTTTTAAATATAGTCATGCTTCTCTTTATGCAAATTTGTACCTATATAGACTATACATAGGAAATCATGTAACACAATTTAAAGCCCTTTTGTGCAAGTTAGTATTGAAAATTGTGTAGAGTCTAGCAGTGCAGCCTCCAGGTGGCAGAATTTAAGAGTGACATTGTTTTCTAAATTAGAAGAACATCCTTTTATACAAGTTCATATAGAAAGGCCAGCCTACAGCCAGAAGAATTTAAGGGCAACAATTTTTCTCTAATTTAGAAGAACACAAAGCTGCAAATTTTTATAATTAAGAGAAAGCACTATGCAGCAGAATTTAAGGACAGCAAAAATTTTTAGCATTTAGAAAGGCACTGGCCAACAGAATTTAGAATCCACTGAATTTGCACCAGGCGACAAAACGCCTAGTATTGGCTTTTAGTGTCTAGCACTTGTCAGGTGAATTTAACTGTTAAAAACACCAATTTGGCACTATATATTACAGAAGGTTTTAGTTTTGTGTGAAAAAGTATCAGCTGCAAACGGCAGCAGAATATGCTCAGTGAGAAAATTTTCACTTGCAAGCAAGGACATTCAAGCATAAGCAAATATTGACAATTTTACATCTGTACCATATTTTTAATTGGGTAAAATAAGCTTTCAATACATGAAAGAAGCTGTGAAATGATTTATCAAAGAATTCAACCTTTTATAATTTGAGTTAAATTTTCTTTTGTTAATTACATAGAAAATAAATTGTTGCATTAAAACCACTTTACAAACATACTATCAATTCCTTATATTTACATAATCTATTTTTTTAATACAAATGAAAGATAATCTACTTATATTTTTAATTAATTGTCCCCCCAAAGGATTTTGGATAACACTTTTTCATACAATTCTGATTCATTATTACCATAAAAAGGCACTTACTTAATGCTTTATTAGCCCAAAAGAGGCTATTAGCACCATACCTAAAAGGGGCATTTTGGGCTAATACGGAATTCTGCCTTGATTCACTGTATCACTTTTCAAATTGTTGCGACCAAATATTATTACCCTACTTTTAAAGAAATTAAATAAGGAAGAATCTGCACATATATACTTATGTTCCTCACACTGTGAAAAAATGACAGTATTTAGAGCCATCAAATTTTGAATAATGTAGTCCTCTACCCAAACATGTGTACCTGAAAGCCTAAGTTTTCAATTTGTTTTATTATTTTTTAATTCATATCTTGTGAAACTTTTATGGACTTTTGATTAAGAAATTCAACAATTTGAAAGTGAGCAGTGGCAACTATGTTTGAAATAAGACATTTTTATGTCCAGCATGCGAGACTATTGCCATTCAAGAAAATGTAAGATAAGCTTTCAATTTTAATTCACAAATTCAACTTTGCAAAAGCAATGTGTTGCCATCGCTGTACATAAATTACCTTTATCTTCCATGAGACAGAATAATGTAATTCAGTAAAGCCCAAGATACTTTCAAATTTAATCTGGAATGTTATTGAGTTTTTAAAAGCAATAAACACAGCTGACAGGAATATTTTTTCTACTTTTCAATGTGATTGATTTAAATACACATGTGTCAAAATCATGAGATGTCTAATTAGAAATGTTCAATATTTTTATGAAATTAGACTAACTAAACCCATTAAAAATTATTATATACTTTTTCTTTTCATAAGTATTTTAGATAACTGGGCCATATAGGGAGCTAGTTTTAAAAAGAAATAATATAGTAAATATAAAAATATGTATGGCAACCTCTAACAGTCTATCAGGAACTCTAAAGACATGATGTTTTTAAATACAGTGCAAAGTTCGAGATCTATATGTCTAATATCGGAAATGATCTAAAATCTGGACCTCAAAGTCATCAACAACCTTTCTATTAAGAACTTTTTTTTTTATATGCATTAAGCATGCACATTTGATGTTTTCCCCCCATAATAAAATAGGGAAAGTCCCAATTCTTAATTTCAACTCCAGCACTAACTAAAATGCCTAGTAGTAAATAGTGGGTTGATTTTACACCTGCTAATATTTTATATTCCTAATGGTAACCTGTGAATCATTATTTATTATATTGTGCTTTTATCAGCACATGTTTATCAACACATGCCAACTTGAGTGATGACTCATGCCTGAATGGCTAAGCAATTTTTTTTTTTTTTTTATATTAGTAATTGAATAACAAAGAGTATGGTAACCTTTTATGTTGACATTATGGATGGCAATGATTACAGATTTAAGTTAAATGTACTAAGAAATGTTGATGAGGAAAAATTTAACACATATTTTTTTTCCATATGTTATTGATACTCATAGGCTAATGATTCCATTTAGTGCTATTTGAATTACGAATAACTGATTTGTCATTCACATAAACCCAGAAGGTGCCAGAGCTAGTATATAGCCGCACCAGGCAACAGAATTTAGGAAAGTAAAAATTTTTGGAATTTAGAGAAGTACCAAACAACAAAATTAAGGGATGACAAAAGTTTTAGAATTTAGGGAAAGAACTGGGACCCAAAATTTACGGGCGGCAAAAATTTAGAACTTAGGTGCTTGCTAGCAGAATTTGGGACCCACAGAGATTGCATATGAGAATTTAGTATTTATTCAGCACTCAGATAAGACCTTAAGCATGTGCAAAAAATAGACATATGTACGAGGTGTATTCGGAAACTAAGTACCGTTTTGAAAAAAAAAAAAAAAAAAAAAAAAAAAAAGTAAAACAATTTTTTCGAATCCAATTTTATTTTTACATGAAAATACATGTCTTAAACTATTTTTCAACATAGTTTCAGACAATGATCAAACACTTGTCATAGCGGGTGACCAGTTTTTGTATACCATCATCAAAGAAACTTCCCGCCAGTTTCAATAACCACGACTCCACAGCATTTTTCGTGTCATCGTCAGATCCAAAGCGCTTGCCACCAAGCTCGTGCTTCATGTGCAGGAACAAGTGATAGTCGGACGGCGCCAAGTCAGGGCTGTCGAACTGCTCCCAATGAAACTGTCGAATTAATGATTGAGTGACACCAGCAGTATGGAGCCGAGCATTGTCATGGAGCAACACAATTCCTTTACTGAGCATTCCTCTTCATTTGTTTTGAATGGCACGCCTCAGTTTTGTTAAAGTCTCACAATATCGTGCCGCATTAATGGTTTCACCTCTGGGAAGAAATTCAGTAAGCAAAACGCCTTTCCTATCCCAGAAGACAGTGCACATGATTTTTTGTGATGACATTGTCACTTTGAACTTTTGTTTTTTCGGAGAATGAGTGTGTCTCCACTCCATTGATTGTTGTTTCGATTCTGGTGTGAAATGACACACCCAAGTTTCATCAACTGTCACAATTTGGTTTAAAACGTTTTCTCCCTCATCACTGTACCGCGTGAGAAATGTCAGGGCATTACCAAGTCGCTTTGTTTTGTGAACATCAGTGAGCATTTTTGGAACCCATCGGGAACACAGTTTGCGATAATTCAAGCGGTCAGACACAATTTCGAACAAAACAGTACGTGAAATTTGTGGAAATGCCTCTGAAAGAGTTGTCATTGTGAAGCGTCTGTTCTCACGAATTTGCTTCGTCAACTTTCCTTACCAAACCATCGGTGACAACAGAAGGCCGACCACTCCGAGCCTCGGCGTGGACATTTGTTCGACCTGCATTAAACATTCTTACCCACTTCCTCACCATTCCATCACTTATCGCGTATTCACCGTAAACTTCTGTCACTTGACGATAAATTTCGGCCGGTTTAACATTCCTCGCGTTCAAAAATTTAATCACGGCACGAATCTCACAGTCAGCGGGAGAACTAATTGTCTTAAACATTTTGAATATGCACAGCAAACTGAAAACACAACATAGAGCAACCAAAATGGTGACAATTGAAAGTCAGTGAACAAGAAAGACTAGTGCGCATGCACGGGATGCCTACCACAGCGCTGCAACGGCGCCAGAATGAAACGGTACTTAGTTTCCGAATACGCTACGTATAATAAATAACTGTAACTAACTAAATGTATACAATTCAGGTTTAACTGTCTCAGTGCACAATAGAGGCAAGAAAAAATTTAGTGGAACAACTTGTCTTTTGTCACAAATCTCATGATATATATCAAACACTAATAAACCAGGTTAAAATTATACTTCACCAATTCCAAGGAATTTTAGTTAATACAGCAGATTGCACTGTTCATTAACTTTCTGATTTGATCCAGCTTATTATTTTTTGCGGGTTGTTATTATTACTGCACTTTTATGAAAATTAATGTTTGAACTTTCAATTATGTCAAAAAGAGTTTCTGGAGCTACAACAGGATCTACAAAGCAAAAGCATGTTTTGATGTCCATGAAATAAAAAGTGGAATTGCTGCAAAAAATGGATAAAGGTTTATCTGTCTCAAAATTATGCGAGAAGCATGGCATTTGTAAGTACACTGTATATGACATATGAAAACAAGAAAAGGAATTTATTGTGGATTCTGAAAATTTACTTGCAATGAATAACTAAATATGTTATTTGTTATGCTGAAAGTGATGACTAAGTAGATCAGACAGCATTGCAGTGAGGGTGTGCCTTAACGGGTCCATTGCTAATGGCTCAAGCCAAAATATTTCGTAAAGAAATGAAC